TGTAGCTATCTCATGACACCAAACAGCACATGGAGACGGGGTAGCAGCATCCAGGATTGTCCAACAAATGTTGTCAGTTGTTATCCTCCCTTGAAGATTATTAAACAGCTGACCACAGAGAGGTTGCTCAATTGTGATATCCAGACACACTCATTCTGGATCCAGCTCCCACATCCCCAGGGTCTTGTCCAGGACACTGTGCATGCTCTAGCAATGGGAGAAAGGTTTCAGAGTAAGTACTGCTAACACTTGGAGCTAGACCCAGCCCAGTGCCAGTAAGCTGGGAATGCTCAGGGACACAAGCCAGTGTCGAGGGAGAGGCAGAAGTTGCAGAGTGGGGAATAAATGTGGAAACAATTTGCTGAGGGAGGCAGGGACAAGTAGCATTGAGGAACAGCTGGCTGGGTTAGATTTACAGGAAGAAAAGGTCTTGAGGGAAGATGACGCCACCACCAGGGGGAGGAAAAGGGGTCTTGGGCGTTAAATGGGGTTTTACAAGTAACTGGGGACAGGGGAGAGAAACGGCCCAAACAATGTACGCACATGTGAATAAATGAATAAAAAATAATAAAAAAAACCCAAGTAACTGGGGGCCTACCAGGGTCAGAGAGCTCATTGTTTCTTTAAAATCCTCTGAACATCTGTCAAGACATTAATCTTTCAGTGAAGGGAGGAGGAAAAAAAAAGACAAACCCTTCATTTCCTAGAGGACTTGACCTATCCAACAGAAGCCACAGGGGGCCAGTCTCAGAAGGCATTCAAATTTTTTTTTTTTGGTGTGACTGAGGTTTGAACTCAAGGCTTCACACTTGCAAAGCAGGTGCTCTATTGTTTGAGCCATGCCTCTAATCCATTTTGCTCTGGTTATTTTGGAGATGGGGGTGGTCTCGTGAACTATTTGTCTGGGCTGGCCTCTGGCTTTGAACCTCGATCTTCCAGATCTCAGCCTCCCAAGTAGCTAGGATTACAGAAGTGAGATACCAGTGCCCTGCCTAAAATACAATTTGTGTGTGTGTGTGTGTGTGGTACTAGAGTTTGAACTCAGGGCCCTTCACCTTGAGCCACTCCACAGCTCAACTTTTTGTGATAGGGTTTTTTGAGATAGAGTTTCTAGAACTATTTGCCTGGGCTGGCTTCAAACTTTGATCCTCCTGATCTCTGCCTCCTGAGTAGCTGGGATTACAGGCATGAGCCACCAATGGCTGGCAAAATTTTCTCTTCCTTCCAGTGCTGTGGATTGAACCCTATGCTACTGGCATGGTAGGTGAGTGCTCTACCACTGAGCTACATACACTGCAGCTCAATACAATTTTTGATGAAATGATCTGGTTTTTGTGTACACTTGATTTCAGTTTGTATTCCTCTGCTCTGTTTCTACTTCTTACTTCGTGTTCCTCAGAACAATGTCAACGTCTTGCTACCAACGCCTGCTGAGTGAACCTAAATTTAGCATAAATTTGCATCAGCATATTAGATTTTGAATTATGTATCTCATTTTCTATGGCATCATCTCCAGTCTTTTTAAACTGCCCTAATCTCTTTTGAGACAGGGTCTTGGTATGTCGCTCAGGCTGACCTGGAACTCTCTAGCCTCCTGCCTCCACATCCCAAGTGCTGCATTCCAGGCTAGGATCCCAGGCCTGTGCCACCGCGCAGATCAAACTCATACCTTCATGCACTCTAGTGGGCACTCTGCCACTCATCTCACCCTCACCTGAATCCTCATTTTTTGGGCATCCTCTTATGTGAAATTGCTGGGGCCAGCCTGGTTTGTTCACCAGTTTCTGGGTAAACTTTTCACACTCGCGCTTTGGGGCCTCCTGTGTGGTGATGTGGACCCCTTCCCCCACCTTGAATTTTTTTTTTTTTTTTAATTTCCCATCCCTAAGCAAATTCTTAAATTTTCTAAGCCTTAGTTTCTTCATCCTTAAAATGGGGATAGCAATCTAAGGGTCATTTGTGGTGACACCATGAATGCACCTGGATCTTCACATTTCAGCTCTCATGCACTAGCTGAGCAATCTTGTGTAAACTATTTCTCAGGCCTGTTTCCCTCCTCTGTGAAATGTGGTGATGGGGAAATCCCTATTCTGCAGGGCTTGCTCTTGGTCTAAGGCTCACCTGGGTTTGCAGCCTGGCTGCCACTTGCTGCGTGCCCTTGGGCTGTCCTCAATCTCTCTCTGGGTTCCTGCTTTCTCATTGTGAGAGTGGGTTCAGCTACGGCACCTGATGAAGGGCTGTTTCTCCAACATTAGGAGGGTGATTACCAAGTGCCAAAACTTCACAGTTCCCTGAAATGTATCCCCAGAGTGGTGATGGTGACATAAGAGCTTAATGTCACCAGCTCTTAAGGTTTTCCCTCCTTGCTTACCAAGCAACTTTTGATAATTTAGTTATCCATATGGTTTCAAGTCATTTCCATGTCTCTCCAAAAGCAAACCTTAGCACCTGTGCACTTGGAGTGGTTTGCTTTTTACTGTGTGAGACATTAGTATGTGATTCTAGCCTTGTCTGGAGGCTACTGGCATCTTCCCACTGCTGAGATGCTCCTGGGAGGCATATGTGAGACATCTGGTCTCTGTTATTTGGGAATTCAATGGGGGAGGGTACTCTGTTTCCTTAGAAATCTTTTTTGAGTTTGGGCTGGGGCATGGCTCACATTGTAGAGTATCTGCCTAGCAAGCATGAGGCCCTGAGTTAAACCCCATCCAAAAAGTAAAGTCTACTTGAAGTCTTGGAACAAGACTGTGATGGATGTCTAAGATATGAAAGAACTACCAGGACTTCAGCAAAGGACGACATCTTTTTCCTCCCTCCCTTCCATCCAAAGGTGCTGAGGATGGCACACATGCAAGGCAAGTGCTCTACCACTGAGTGACATCCCTGTCCTTATGTCATCATTTTTCATCTCATGTAAGGGGCTCAGCTTTCACCAAAAATTTATAATTCCGCCAATGCACCGGCATTTGGGACTATAAATTTTTGTGATTGGGTGCTGGGGGCTGTTTTTTTATGAACACTGTTAAAATGAAGTACAAACTCTTTGGTCAATCTGAGAGTTTGGAAATGCCCCCTTTGTCTTTGCCATGAAATCTTGAAGCATCAGATCACATTCACCAGGAGTTTTAATTTAAATAAAGTGCTCTGAACAGTTTAAGGGCTACCATGCTTGTAAGGGCTACCATGCTTACACCAGAATTTATAATTCCAGACAATGACCGGCATTTGGGATATAAATTTTTGTGATGTGTGCTGGGGGCTGTTTTATGACACTGTTACAAAATGAAGTACACAACTCTTTGGTCAATCTGAGAGTTGGAATGCCCCCTTTGTCATTTGCATAGAAATCTTGAAGCATCAGATCACCATTCCACAAGGAGTTATAACTTCAAATAAAGTGCTCTGAACAGTTACCCATCTTAGTTTACGTATGGCTGTCTGCCCTGTCTTGGAGTGGCACAACTCTGACCCAGGAAGCCCCAGTTGAGATTGTTTTTTCCTTGTTATTCCACCCCAACCTTCTATCCCTGTAACCATGGCTGTAATGCATCTTCACTTCTTTCTATTTTAGGGGTCTACCAAGTGATTTTCCTTGCCTCTTGATCTCAATTCTCAGGTCCATCCTTCCTGGCTTAGAACCTTTTTTTCCCAGTGCTAACTTCTGACTTACTGGTTCTGACCGCTCGATGTCATCCTGAGTAGGCACACTAAACCTGAGTTCTTTAAAGTGGAAATATCATTTTTGTCTTGGCCACTGGTTGTTCATATGCCTGAAATCCTTTTCCACGCTGCCGCCCGGGAAACTCAAAACTTCTCCACACTTCTCCCTTCTGCCCGGGCGCTCATCTCATTATCTGTTGACATCTGCTTTGCTGAGTTAGCTGAGCAGGAGCCCGACCACGTTTGGATTGTTACGGTGTGTACGTGTGTGTAACGTGCAAGAAACTTTCACTACCTAGCATCAGTAATGAGAGTGGGGTCGGATGTGGTGCTTACTGTGTGCTATAATTAACCCATGACATCCTCACAAACCTTTCAAGTAGCACTTTCGCTACAGTGTACAGCTGAGGAAAATTGGCTCAGAGGTTATTGACGAGTTCAAGGTCACCACCTGCTAGCTGGTGGAGCCAGGAAAAGGCCCAGGTGGCGAGTCCTGCGCAGTCTGGGCTGAACCGCAGCATCCAACCCGTCTATAAGGTGAGGTTGTCACCAAGGTAGGAATGACATTGCCAGAGCTCTCCAGGGGCGCACAGGCACCTGTTCTGCTCCTTGCTGTGGTTTAGAGTTCAGGGCAGGGCACCCTGCGCGTCCTGAAGAAATGACAGGCTGGGTCAGAAGCCTAGCGTGGCAAGTAAGGGAATTTTCTGCCCCTGTCCCCTCTCCAACCTGAAGCCCAACGACTGTCTTCCAGGAGAACCTTACCGACACACCATTCCCCACAGTGTCCCTTCCTATGCGTCCTTTGGCGAATGCGGCTAAGTCATCCCCGCTCCGTGGTCCCCGAGTGACACCCTGCATCCTATTTAACTCTTCCCTGGGCTACACTCGGGCTCTGGGGACTGCGGCTCGGTGTCGCCTATTCATCCTTCGGCAGCGCGGTGTGTGCTGACGCAGACTCTCGGCAACCGGTGGCCACAGCTCCAGTCTCAGAGGACGCGTGTCCGCGGACCTCCCGCTCGGAGAGGACCTCGCGTGCGCGGGGCTGCAGTCGTGCCGTCCGTCCTCCTCTGCGGGTGGCACTGGCGCATCGTCTTCGCAACCGTCCGTTGAGGTGTCCCTTCCGAGCCACCCGCAGCGGGCCACCTCTACGTAGGGGTTGCAGAGCGTCCCGCCCCCCAGTCCTGCGGCCCGATCCCGCCCCCGCCCGGCCGCGGCACAACCTCCGCCCCCGGCACCCGCCCGCCCGCCAGCCAGCCAGCCGCAGCTGGGCCGCCGCACAAAGGCCGGCGGCCGCTTCACCGCGCGCAAGGATTCGAGCCACGCGCGCGCCCCTCCCCCGCTCGCGCCGCTGCCGGGGGCCCAGGTTTCTGTCGCCCTGGCCATATTCTCCTCCCCGAGCTACCGGACACGCAAGACAGTGGGGCGAGGCCGGTTTTACCGGGAGAGCTGTCACTCTGAGGCGCTCCCCTGTACCAGGAGGGCTCCTCGCGGAGGGGGACTACTTTCCCCCCGCCCCTCCGCGGAGGAGCTACTTCTGCCGCGCGGAGGCGTCGAGCGCAGCGGCGCGCACGGCATGGCGGCGGCGGCGCGCGCCTGAGCAGAGGGGACGCCGGCGCGGTAAGGCCTCGGCGCGGCCTACACGCTTCGCTCGCCCGCTTCCCGCTCCGCGCCCGGCCATGGCGGAGCCTTCGCCCGCCCGACGCCCGGTGCCCCTCATCGAATCGGGTGAGACACCGAGCGCGCCGCCCCCGCCCCGTCCCCTTCCTTTCCCGTCCCGCGCGGTCCTGACCCGACTGCCCCGTCTTCCTTCCCGCAGAGCTGTACTTCCTCATCGCCCGGTACCTATCGGCGGGCCCGTGTCGCAGAGCTGCCCAGGTGAGGGCGGGCGGCGGGGTGCGGCGCGGCGGCGGCGGCGGGGGGTCGAGGCGGGGCGATCGGGCGGGCGCGAGTGCGGGCGCGGCGGCGCGGGCCCGCGTCCCGGCGCTGACCGCGCATCTCTGCCGCAGGTGCTGGTGCAGGAGCTGGAGCAGTACCAGGTCGGTGCCCGCGGTCCCCGCGCGTCCCAGCCCCTCGCGCCCCTCCCCCGCGCCGCAGCGGGGTCACCCGGGCGCCTTTCGTGTCTTTCCAGCTGTTGCCGAAGAGGTTGGACTGGGAGGGCAACGAGCACAGCAGGAGCTACGAGGAATTGGTGAGCACCGGACGCGGCCCCCTCGCGTCCCCCGCGCGCCCCTCTCCCGGCTCCTGCTCGGCGGGTGCACGTTGCGGGGGCGGGCGGGTGGCTCCGGGGATGGCGGGCCTGGCCACCCCCCACCCAAAAAAAAAAAAAAAAAAGCTGGATTCTGACGCGGCCGGTGGGTGGGGGGGTTTGTTTGGGCGGGCAGGGGCCTGGGGGGCGGCGCGGTGCGGCGCGGCGGGGGCGTGCGGGTCCCCCCGGCCGGGGTGGGTCTCCGGGTGCGGCCGCCCACGGGGAGGGCGGTGTGCGCCCGTCAGCCACTCAGCGGGGCGCTCTCATCGACGGCCGCCTCCGCCCGGGTTGTAAGTCGGGCTCTGATTGGTCGCTCTTCTTGCGCCCCGCCCGGGTCTCCCACCACTTGTTCCTTAGGCAGAGTCAGTAGTCCGTCCAGGTGGGGATGTTTGCGCGTGAAGCCTTTCTGGTTTTTTTTTTTTTTTTTTTTTTTTAAATTTCTTAAAAAATTAATTCCTCATCCGCGTGGTAAAAGTACCGCTGCTGCGTGAATCAGCCGCTCCAGTGCTTTTGCTTTACTCTGACCCTTGCACAATATTTGATGACCGCCTTAGGCATTCATTTACTTTGATGAGTTTTGTGTTTGGTTTTGCTGTATGTCACTGCATAAGGACTAAAAATGGACACGTGTTTCTACCTTTTTTTTTGGAGTGTTAATGTGGATCACGCTTCTCTTTTCCTTATGTTTTGTGAACCTGTTTTGTTTTCATAATCTGTAATTCAGTTTTATCGACAATTAACAGCAGTGGCAGGGATTAGTTTGTCCTAAGTGGAATAAAAACATTTTCCAAGAAATGTTTTTGACAGCTTGTATATCAGGACAAAGGCTTGTTTGGTTGCCAGGTCGTGTGAACAGTTGAAAAAGAGAAGCCAAAAAAAAATCGGCTTACTATACTTGAGCCTGTAATTAGAAGGGTTAGAAGAATATCATCATTCTTACGTTCAATACATAAAGGAATTAGGGTATTTGTCATGCATGTGAACAGTTAACCACTAACACCGCCCCCCCCCCTCCGGGTCTTACCGGGGTTTGAACTCAGGGCCTTCACCTTGAGCCATTCCACAGCCCTATTTTTGTGAAGGGTTTTTTGAGGTAGGGAATCGTGAACTGTTTGCCCTGGGCTGGCTTCGAGCCTCGATCCTTCTGATCTCTGGCTCCTGAGTAGCAGGATTACAGATGTGAGCCACTGATGCCCGGGTTGTCGTTGTTTCTTGAGACTGTGTCCTTATATTGCCCAGGATAGTCAGGTACTCAAGATCTTTCTGCTTCAGCCTTCCAAGTGCTGGAATTACAGGCTTGTACCACCAGGCGTGACTAGTTTTAACATTTTTTTTGACAGTACTGGGGATGGAGAATTCAGATGAACTAACCCTGTGTGTTAGTCTTAATTGAATATAATGTGAGGAGTGTCCATAGGTCAGTGTCTTCTTAACCAAAAGGAAAACAATCGGTTATTCCTTGTAGTGTATCACTGTCATTAATTTTTTTTTCTTATTGTATTTTTAAAAAAATTGTTCAGGTAGGATTTTATTGCGTGAGGAATAGACTTATAAGGCTATTTGTGTTCAAACCTCAACCCCACCCATCCTCCTCCAAAAAAATAAAAAAAAAGGTTCAAGTTATTTGTCTTTAAATCAATAATGGGTTTATTACACTTACCATTTTTCTTCACTTACAAATCTTAAATCTAGTAATGACAGAAGTAAGTACACTTTTATTTGGTGTTTAATTTATAAGTGAGAATTTAATACCACTGTTTCTTTGGGCATGTCACACAATACATTTTAATAAGTATCTGATAATTTTAATCACCCCAAATGGGGTAAACATGGACAAATCTAAGCATGATCTTCCTAAGGGTGTAGCTTTTTTATTTTTGTGATACTGGAGATTGAATTCAAGGCCTCATGATTGCTAGGCAGGTGCTCAACCACTTGAGCCATGTCCCCAGTCCTGTTTTGCTTTTAGTTTTTCAGATGGGGGTCTCTAACTTGCCCCAGCTGGCCTTCAACCAAGATCCTCTTACTTCTGCCTGCTGAATAGCTGGGATTGTACCTGTATAAGTGCATCTGTGCTTTCTTTTACCTCCATTTTTGCTTATTTATCAATCTTCTTGAGCTACAAATTAACTCCTTAACCAAAGAGAGTAGTTTCACTATCTTGAACATTATAGGATTAAGGACTCAGGAACATGACAGGCCAAAGTTTGAACTGGATGCCCTGCCAGATATAGGACACTACTTGAATCTCAAATGGATCCTTTTTTTTTTCTTTTTTAGTTTTTTTTTGTTGTTGTTGTTGTATTGGGGCTTGAACTGAGGGCCTACACCTTGAGCCACTCCACTAGCCCTATTTTGTGAAGGGTTTCTTTGAGACAGGGTCTTGCACGATTTGCCCATGCCGGCTTGTACTGTGATCTTCCTGATCTCTGCCTTTGAGTAGCTAAGATTACAGGCATGAGTTACTGGTGCCTGACTGCTTCACATTTTGAAGGTAAGATCAACCCTCCAGCAGAGTTCGGGATTTGAGCACTGGTGAAATTCCTAAGCTCTGTCTGTACCCCATAATAGAGTTGAATCTACCCAAACATTGGGAGATCTTGGCTCTACTTTATGCCTAAGCTGCCAACTTGTTAGGCTGCTAGACTTCTCCTTGCAGTTCTGCCTTTGGCTTTCCATGCCTGAAGGGATCTTAAGCCTTTGGTGGGCCTCTGCATTGTCCTTGGAATGGGAAGCTTCTCTTGGAGCTGTCCTGCCTCGGTTCTTGCCCCTGTGCAATGGTGGTGGAGGTGCCTCAGGATCTGATCAGTCCTGCCAGCCTGTAGGTGACTGTTCAGTTTTCTTCGCATTTGTGACTAGTTCTTCCTGCTTCTGCATGGGATGAAAACGGCTAGGAGTCTCTTCAGTTCACAGAAAGGCTCATCCCTTTCTGAGGGTAGTTAATTTAGCTTTTCCTGATAGTCTTAACTGTGATGGGTTAAAGAAATGTTTTAAAGTGTATTCAGTCAGATGTGGTATATCACACCCACTCAGAGGGTGGAGATGGGGAGAACTGCAGTTCAAGGTGAGCCAAGGTAAAAAGTTAGTGACACCTCTTCTCAACCAATAAAGCTGGGTGTGGTGGCACATGTCTTTCATCTCAGCTACTTGGGAGGTGTAAACAGGAGAATCACAGTCCAGGCTGGCTTGGGCAAAAAAGGAAGATCCAATTTGAAAAATAACTAAAGCCAAAAGGGCTGTAGGTGTGGTTCAAGTGCTAGAGAGCCTGCCTAGCAAGTGTGAGGTTCTGAGTTCAGACTCCAGTACTGTCTTCCCCCCCAAAAAAAGTGTATACAGCTTATTCTCATGGTTAAAGTGAGAGCGATAATTTTTCCCATGTTTTAACCCCCCCCCACTAGAGATTGAACCCAGGGCATCATGGATGCTGGGCAAGCAGGTGCTCTACTACTGAGCCTCATCCCAGCCCAAACGGGATCGTTTCTGACTGAGGGGAGCATGGAGCTGCCTGTACTCGTCTCTAGACAGCTGTACTTTGAGTTTCTGCTCTAGCAAACCACATTTGTTGGAAGGATTGGGTGAATTCCTAGTTGATTTTCTGGTTGAGAACCAATTAAATGGTTATGAAATGATGTCTGTGTGATCTTTGACGTATAAAAATCTCTCAAAGATGTGTACTTCCCTTACAAGTTCGAGTAAGTTTTAGTATTGATTAACTATGAGATAAATGGAAGGTACACCTCTTTTTTCCACTCTTTAATCCAGGGAACTCACTAGGAATATATAAAATAGAATCTTACAAAGCAGATGTACTGTCATATTTCTGTAATCCTAGCACTTGGGAGGTGCAAGAGGATCTCAAATTCTCAAATTCAAGGCCAGCCTGGGCTACATGGTGAGACCCTATCTCCCAAAAAATAGAACTTTTTTTATTTTTTATTTTTTTATTTTTTGGAGGGACTGGGGTTTGAACTTGAGACTTTGTGCTTGCAAAGCAGGTGCTCTACCATTTGAGCCACACCTTCAGTTCATTTTGCTTTGGTTATTTTTGGAGATGTTATCTTGTGAACCATTTGATCGAACTGATCTTGAACCATGATACTCCCAAGTAGCTAGGATTGCAGGTGTGAGCTACTGGCACCCAGCTAAAATATAATCTTTTTTTTTTTTTTATATCATTTTTACATTTACTTACATGTGTATACATTATTTGTGTCACCTTCTCCCCCTGCCCCAAGAAAATAGAATCTTGTACTGACTATTTACTGTCTTTCCTGTTTTATGTACAAATTTGGAAGTTGGATTCTTTAAATGCAAAAATGACATCACAGTGCAGGATGAAGTTTGCCTGTAGTGTTTCTTCATTTTGACTGATTTTCATTTAACATTTACTATGGGGTTGGCAAATAAGATTTTAATCTGAGACTGTGATTAGATAGGATATTCTCTGACTTTAATCAGTATGCATATATTTGATTTTAAAAGTGAGAGCTGGGTATGGTGGTTCATGTCTGTAATCCCAACTACTTGAGGCAGAGGTAAGAGCATCAAGGTTTAAGGTCAGCTTTGGGCAAAAGTGTGAGACCCTATCTGAAAAAATAAAGCAAAAAGGGCTGGGGGGCATGGCTCATGTGGTGGAAACCGTGTATGAGGCCCTGTGTCCAAACCCCAGTACTAGAAAAAAAGTGTGCAGAGACCACTTTGAATTTCATATTCTCATGAAACTCTTAGAAAATCTTGTGTGTGTGTGTGTGTGGGGGGGGGGTGATAAAGGAGAATGATGGAGAGGGTGAATTCAATATGATATTTTTGATATATTGTAAGAACTTTTGTAAATGCCCCGTTGTACCCCCCAGCACAACAATAAAAAAATTAAAGAAGTTCTTGGAAAATCTGTCATTTTTATTAACATGCAATATAGCAGATTACAGCGATTCATTGATAAT